GATAATGCAGCCCAAAAGTTCCCCTTGTCCTCACATAATTCATTTCTATAAATAGACTTAATTTTTGAAAACACACAAATTGCTATCTTAGTAACTGTAAAGTTATTCAGATGAAGAAGCTATATATATATAGCAGTAAACTACCATTACAGTTACAGGCAATAATTACTTTGCCCTGACACTGGTCCTTACTTATAAACCTATTCATTGGGATCTCTATTAAGTAAGAGAGTTCTTTCTATAGGCATTAAAACCTATTGTGAGGTTTTACTTTCAAAGTAAAACCTATTAAGAGCTTTTACTTTCAAAGTAAAACCTATTATGGACGCTAATGACTAACTTTCAAATTTCATCCATTCCAAATCAATAAGAAAAGTCATCGCTTTCTTCAGTGAATGAAGACTGCGTAACAAAATGAAAGTCGTGGTCTTCGTTGCTCATCTTTCCACATCAGAGTCTCTGGTGAAAGGTTTCAAAACACGTGCTTTTGCACGCGCATTAACTGCTAGCCGTTACGTTACAACTACCTCTATGTAACAGTTGGATTGTTTAAAGTCGAAAATCTTGTAAAGCAAAAAACACCTTTAAAATTGCGAATTTTAGATTTGAAAAGTTTATTTTAGTTGTGTTTTGTTGTTGACACATCCAAGGGCTCTTTAACGCCTGGCAAGTCAGCGAATTTCACGTGCAAGTTATGATATAACGTCTTCAAGGAAGCGCTATAATGAAGCGCCTCATTTATAGATGCTCGTTATAATATTTAATCAATTTAGACGGCTTATAAGTATGGAAAAACACTTTCCCTCGGTTTTGGTAGACAGAGCATGCCCTGGGGGTCGGGAAAAACCGCGGGGGCTTCGCCCCCTTGGTTTTTCCCTCTCCCCAGGGCATGCTCTGTCTACCAAAACCTCGTAAGCGTGTTTTCTCCAATCCAAATACACCTTAAAACTCAGAGGGATGTACTTATTTGGAAGCATTGAGTTGTCTATATAAGGCATTGTTATTCCCACATGAAACTTTTTATTCATTGAAAAGAAGTGTTTTGACTCTTAGTTACATCCAGACTTCAAGGTTTATCAGAAGTTCGGGTCCGGGCCGCTACAATATGAAGGATCCTCTCTCCGGTACTCAAAGATCCCTGTACCGTGAGATCGTCCATATGGACTCCCTATCCCGAATCTGACGTGTGTGTGAATAGATGGTGTTTGGGTGTCGGAGAAGTCAGAGGGATGCTACTCATCACATGCTCTCTGCGAGTCCACCACTGCAGGTCCTGTAATAAGTTGGGAGGTAACTGAGTCTTGAACTCTAGGGTGTGGGATCATAGTGAGTTGAACCATGTCTGTAGAAGACCTAACATCGACCTTCCTCTGAAGGTCATATCCTGTAGAGATGTTAGATTGCCTGGAAGACACATACACCATCTCAGAGACCTGCTGGGTTGACTTCATGAAATGCAGTTTGTATCAGTCAGCCACAACATCTAGAATCCATCGGTTGGGCATAATCTGCTTCCAATTTTCGGCATATGACAGTATCCCTCCCAATGGCCCCGGAGTCGTGTTATATTGAAAGACGGTAGGCATAAATTTGAAGTCAATAGACATAACCAGGTCTAACGACGGAGTGGGTGGCAAGGAAGTCAGAATCTGCGTTCACCTCTGCCACCGGATCTGTCCCAGCGACAAGATCATCGTTTCTTGCAGTTGGACTGACGAAAAGAAACCCTCAGAGGATTTAGACTTGTCGAAGTCCCTCCCCCCCCCCCGACTCGGTTGGAAGGAATCCTCCCTGGAGGGGACAATCTTCTGCTTAGGAACGCTTCTGGGAATGGGAATGTGCCTTGGCAGCTAGGTTGATAGTTGATACTTGAAAACATCCTGTTGTATCCTGTTTGACCTCGTCTATGACATGACCCAATTTGCCGTTGAACGTCTTGGGAGCAGTTATTGGTTGTGACATTATCAACTCTCTTGGTTTGGTTGGAAACAGCTCTTGAATGAATCCATGCTAGTAATTGTTGCCGCTGAACCAAGAGTAGCTGTGAAGACATCCAGACTTGGGTGGAGAGTAAGTCTTCTTGCATTCTGACTATGGTGTCTAGCAGGCTGTGGATGAGTCCGACCTGATCCGTCCTAATAATCACAGGAGTCTCTCCGGATATGCCGTCATATGATGTCTGCAACGATGGAATATGATGTGCCTGATACCGACGAAAATCAGTTGATATATGCGCCAATGTCCATTGAATGTCTGGACGCCATGGACAGGTCCTTGATTCGTGAAGCTGGTAACGTGACATTATTATTAGGGTTGCATAATAGCTTAGTAAAATCTTGGTCCAAATCTTGATAATCCGTTAGTGGAGAGTCATGAGTTCCATACAACTTCCACTTCAATGGAGGTAAGGATAGCCGGTCATCATGTCTGAGCTTGAGTAGCTTTTCAGACGCCTGGTCGGCCATGGCAATGTCTGGTAGATGTGGTGAGATGATGTAGGACATGATATCCTCTGTATTCCGTCATCTCAGGTGGTGAATTTTCTGTCATTGGAGGTTGGAGTACAGGCATAAGATGATATAACTCCTCAATGAGTGTATCCCTCTGCAAAATCACCCTGGGATGAAACGTCAGACTGATTAATCTCCTCATATAGGTCCGATTCTGCCTTCACCCCCGAATGGCCGTGGGGTGGATGTTTGTCGTAGTCCATACACTCAACGTGTTCCCAGTGTGGTTCAACTGCTGGTGTCCAGGATTCCGGTATACATAAGGTCCGTGCGGCTTGTGATGAATGCCCATGTATGACGGCGTCTGTACGGTAATCTTCATCTCCGTCAGTTGCCTGGTCCCGGTCCCGTGTGGTCCGGTTGATAGCGACGGCTGGGCTACCGTGGAGTCCGCGTGGTGACCTTACGGTGTCTTATCGGTCAGCTCGACGGTCGGCTGGGTTACACTGTAGTCAGTGAGGTGACCGTACAGTGTCTTAGCTGGGGAGTATGGTCTTGCGGTACCCTGACGGGACCCAAGTGGAGATCTAGATGCCTGTGTATCATGGTAGGGTAAAGCTTGAGAGCTTCTACCCGGCTGGTCGGTTGCTGGGGTAGGCCGTCCCCCATGCGGCGTCTTGGCCGGAGGACTCTTCTTAGCCAATACTGTTTGCCTCTTCTTCATAATCTCCATATCTTGGTTTATAGCTGAGAAGCGTGACTCAAACATCACCTCCATCATCTCCTGCTGTTGCTTGAATAGTTGTTGAATCAAGTTCATAGAGAACGCCAGAGTAGGAGTAGGAGGCCCTGGGGTAGAGTCAGAGGCTACTTCAGTGACTTTAACTTTCGCAATGACTTTAACTTTCTTCTTAGCTGTTTCACGCCTTCTAGCTTTAGTTAAAGCTTCAGCTAGTTTGGGGAAGGCTTTCTTGGATAGATTTGAGCATTGATCACATCTTGCCTCATCTTTACATAAATCCTCTCTACACTTCTAGCAGCTGCTATGAGGATCTCCAATGATCATTAAATGATCACACTTCTTGCAACCAGGAGTAGACATCTTCCCGAGGCAAGGGAGTTAACTGACTATAATAGTCCAGTTTCCACCCTTGACAAACTAGGCTGGTATTATGGAGTTACAACTTGGCGCTGCCATTTTGCAAGTGATACGAGAGGTGGAATCTGATTGGTCCATAGGAGAGGCATAGAAGGGACTTAACTCATAACAGCCACTGGTGGTGCTACGATCGAGCCCAGGAATTCCAGCCTAGTTCGGCAAGGGTGGAAACTGGACTTTTAAAGTCAGTTAACTCTCTTGCCTCTGGAAGATGGGAGTAGAGGGAGATTCCATTACGACCTCACAAAAACACATCACACCGGCTTATACTTACGTGAGTACGATCATCTAATACCGTTGTTGCTGAAAGAAGCCCAGCTGGTATCTATCCAGGCCAAGCTTGTGTTAAACAACAAGCTAAAAAAGTACCAGCAAAGACAGCACTGCCAGCTTCAGGGCACATCTTTCAGCTCTGGGACGACTACACTGCAGGATTAATATCAGCCATCCAACTAATTCGACAGGGGGCCCTTCTGCCACCAAGTGATTATAAGTGATAAGTTGTTCTTTCACCCGAAACAGCCCCGAAAGTCTCTAATCATCTACGAAAATATTAAAATATTTTCTTCGAAACCATAAAGCAATGATTTGTTTTAATGAATAATTACGTATGATATATTACACCTAATAACATGATGCATGAAATATAATAATGTGGCAAGGAATGATACATTCAAGTCAAAAACACTGACCTGAAAAAGAATACAAAAATAATTGGATAAATATTATTAAATAACTGCTTGAGACGCCCAACGCTAACACCGTATTCGTGCCTGCGTGATTCCCGTGCAACCTTTTGAGTTGAGTTGATAGGTTCAACTGTGTCATATGGCCCTGTGATGCAGGGGTAGCATTATGCAGATGGCTGTTACAATGAATGCTCGTTCCACCCTTGACGAACAGGTCTGGTTGTTGATGAAATATAGTGATAGCTAAATAGACAGATTTTTTATTCATGCACCAATTGTCTTTAAATGTAATATCCAGTTATGTATGACTGTTTAATAATCTCATACCAACTTTGCCTGGAGTAGGTCCAATAGTTTTTCAGATATTGTAATAAACGTTGGTACCTTAAATTAACTTCCAGACTATAGCAGAACATATGATTAAGCGAGTTACATATGCCCAACCTTCCATTCCAACATCATCGATCAACTTGAGTTAGGATTGAGCCAGCATGGCAGAGAAGAGGCAAATGAGATATGACAGAGTGAGTATGGTTTTATGCCGCTGTTAGCATTATTCCAGCAATATCACGGCAGGTAACACCAGAACCAATGGGATATTAACAATGCCCATGTCATGACTTTACAGTGTTGATCCATTTGGATATGATTATTGACTCATCCTCAAGTTTTCAGCAAAGAAGAGACAATCGTGCCATTATGTAATTTCAACAAGCATTTTATTTCCCTAGCTGCATTACACTTATCAGTCCAAGTTTTGCATTGTGTTTGGCAGTTCTGCTATAAAACTTTACCATGTTATGAAAGATTACTGTGGTCATCTGGAGCGGAGTAATGGTCTAAGTATTCTTTTCAAAAGACTTCTGTGGCCAAGATATTAAACCTGAAGAAGGTCAGGTGTCAACACTGGTTGGAACAAGCATGTTACATTTCAGCTACATCAGTCCAGAGGTTTCTGAGGAGATGCTTACAGACACTACTGACGTCAGACAAGCAGACCAGGACATAAGTTTACTTCAGCCAGGTCAGCGAAAAATAGTTTGTCCCCTTCAAGCCGAAATTGGAACATTCAATTCTTTTAGAACCTCCATTTCAGACTCACTGTATCAAGCAAACTTCTTCATTCAATGTTCAATACATTTGACATTTGGCCCATATCTGTATGTAACATTTTCATTTATCACTATCATCACTATCACTTTCATCATCGCTATCACTTTCATCATCGCTGTCATCGTCATCGTCGTCGTCATCATCATCACCAACAATGTTATCGCTGCTGTTTTGAGATGGCTTCTCTTTTTTCAGCACAGGCTCTGAAACCATACCAAAGTTATTTGATTTGCCAAAAAGATTCAAAACACAAACTTCATAGGCACCTGTCTTCTGATATAAATTAGCTAATATTTTCTTGCCAGGTTTAGGAATGAAAGATTGACATAACAAGGCTATAAATTCAATATGTCATTACAAATTGATTCATGTTACACGTTGAAAAATAATCCATAAATATTTGTTGAAGTTAACATTCAGAAACAAGTCCCAGACTATTTTAGTTCAGAGCCATTTATCAATCACTTTTTTCATTTTTCTGTCAAAATATTCTGAATATTAAATTTAAAGAGAAACAAACATAATTGAGTGGTTTTAATTGTCTTACCACTTTACTTAATAGCAAGTCACATTTACTGTTTAATACATAAAATATCTGAGTGATATTACCATATTTTCTTGTGTATAATGCAACTTTTTTCATAAAAAAAACAGCAGTGTACAGTCGGGTGTATATTATAAATGATTTTTTATTTTTTGTTCCCCTGAAAATACATCCGACAAAAATACCATGTCAATAAAACCTAAAGTAGACAAACTACTCCTCTTATTACACTATCTGGGTTAAAAAGTGTCTGGCTTATGTTTTTAATCTATTTGATTAATTTTATGTAAAATTTCATTCAAAATTGTTCAACAATAATCTTGGCGAAGCCATTATTTCGATCACCAGCAAATGACACCCACTCACCAGCAACCAGCAGATTGTTGTTATTCATGCTTGGAACTGAACCTTAGTTGTCAGAGAACAGATGTGTATCATCAATGCCATACTTTCATTTGTCCAAAGTAATATTTGTTGCCATTTGAACAAAACTATTTATGAGTCACTTCACGAGTGAATGACCTTCAAAGTGACATTGATACAACCATGGCATATTAAGTGTTGAAGTCAGAGTCAGTCTTCAGTGATGGATCATGCGTGGTTTTCTCATGAATTAATCCGAAACTTGGTGAAATTTTACCATTACATAATTTAACCTCATAATCAAGTTCGCTATTCAGAGGTGACACAAAAGAGATCAAAACGCTTGGGTATTAAATCTGACACAAAAAACACATGATATGTTATCCCTGCAATGTTTAAGCACTGCTTGTTTTCTGGCAAAACCTTAAACCATCGCCATTTATATGGTGTTGCTTAATTACCAGTGATTTTGCGAGAGACAAATCTCAAAAAGACATTTTCATGAATTTATATCGACAAAAGATCTTTACACTTGTAGCAAATTTCATTACAGTTTGATCCAAAATGACTGAGTAATAGCTATAAGAAGATTCAGACCAAAGTATGGGTGAAGGTGCAAAGGTCAAATAAAGGTCAAAATTTAAAATACAGAAAAACATAAGGTTACCTAGCCCCATGACAACCAACATATGGACCAATGGTACAAAGTCCAACCACATCATTCCTATCTTAAGAGAACTGCACTGGCTTCCAATCAAACATTGGATCACTTCTAAACCCATCTGCCTTGCAAACCAATCTTCCTCTCAATCAGCCCCATGTTATATCTGTGACCTGCATGAAGTCTATACTCCCAACTCAAACACTCCAATGTGTTAAGGACAAAGAACTTTCACCTTTGCTGCTGCCACTGAATGGAAGAATCCACCCTCTGATCTCTGTGAATGTCCTACCTACTCTGAATTTTAAAACATCAATCAAGACCTATCTCTTCCTCCAAGTTTTCTACTGAACTGTCTTCTCCTGCCTGCACTTTGAGCATAATATTTGAGTATGGAAAAATACACAATAAATTGTATATTTAGAATACTTATCCTGTCTCATATTTCTCTTTCATCTTTTGATCCTAAGTGCAAACAAAGGTTTGCAGCTTCTTAAAAACAATTCACCTGAACACACACCTAGCATCACCACAGTCACCTCTCAGCAATCTGGGTCATGCATGCTTCCCCTGCTGGTTGACCTGCACGCACTGAACAGATGGCCTCCCCAGCAAACTCATTCTCTTTCAAGAGCTTAATAGGTTAGAGGAATTGTGATGAGGGGATGGATGGGTGGGCATATAATGTGTGAGATAGGATAAGTATCATTTTTAAAACTTATCCTATCTAACACTGCATTTACCCAATGGTTGGAAGGAGAAACGCAACTCCCTAGTCTATAAAGACAAAAACCGTGGGATATACATGAGGAAGCTGGAGCTAACAGTGATGGAAAACCATGTTAAGTAGCACCGTCTAGTGTCGTACGACAAAGCTCGTTGATAAGGATGAAACACTCCCAAAGAGCATTTTGACGCTGATACATAAACACAGGAAAACACATGAAGTCTGGTAAAATATGTGTCATATGTTCATACATAAGTGAGAGTAAGTGTAAACCAGACAAAACAATATACAACTTGTAATCGATGATGAATGTATCCAGGCAATCGAGGTGTATCATTATCTCCCATGGGCGAAAGGACCATCCAGTTTAGCATCTCTTTTCACAGTTCTCGAAACCCTCAATCATTGTTTTGGTGACTGAATCAATAGGTTAACACAAGAAGAGGAACAATCAATGACATCCACAAAAGAATCGTTGATCAACCACCCACCCACACATGACCAAAGCAGAGATGAGTGGAATAGGGGATCAGGACACGAGATTCAGGCGCACCTAACAGCGATTTCCAGACCGAAGTCTCCACAGAAGAGTCAATGCATCCTCCAATCAGATACTCAGTTTGGAGTACCTGAAAAAAATAATGAGGAACTCAAACAATCGTGCCAAGGTTCATTTTATCTTGAGAGAGACATAATACAAGGAGACACATCTCATCCTATCTATGCATGTGTCTTGCGCGAGAACCAAAGGCCCAAATTGATGCTGACCTTGGATGTCAGTCACAGAGATGTCTCGGAGGTAGTGGCATGCGAAAGCTGTATTCGATTTCCCAAAACATCCTTCCATAATTGCAGCCAAAGTACAATTACTGTGTTGAGCCATAGTCGAGTTGACAGCACGAGTTTGGCGAGTGTTGGATGCGACCAAAGTAGGTAAGCCAGCAAAGGTATATGCTCTGAGGAAAACTGAATGACTCCAAAACTAAATCATGTTATGACACACCTCCATAATAGCTGTCATAGAAAGTGGGATAAAAAGTCTCTTCCAGGAACGCTGAAGGGGTTTCGCCGCAACAAGGTAGGACCGAAGAACATGTACAGGACAAAAGGATACATCTTCGCGATCCTCAGAATTCAGGATGGATGTCAAAGGTGGGATAATAAATAACCATTCAGGTTGTCCAGGAAGTTGATTTTGTGCGATAAAATGCCATCATAGGCCCAGAAAAACTTTTCAATGTACGTGCAAAACGCACTCTGCTCACATCTAAAGCATGAATCTCACTCACTGAAGCAGACGTCGCAAGAGCCAGAAGAAAAACTTTTTTCGACGTAATGTATTCAAACTCCTTCTTGACAAAACCGTCTCCATGGTCTAGTGGTAGAGCGTCCGCCCAGAGAGCGGAAGGTTTGGGGTTCGATCCCCGGCCACGTCATACCAAAAGACATTAAAAGATGGTACTTGTTGTTACCCTGTCTGGCGCTCGGCATTAAGGGGCTAAATAAAACAAGGACTGGTCGGCTCGGAGTCAGTATACTGTGTCTGAGTGGGATATTCATGTTAAACTGCGGCATGGTATCTCAGTGAGCTAGCACTATAAATGGGCATCAGTCCGGACTAGTTCAAGCAGCCACACAAACACACACACGTACATGCACGTCGCTATATAAGTGCAATAATCTTGGACGCGACGTTAAACCCCATTTCACCTCACCTCACCTTCTTGACAAGAGGTTCGTAATCAAGTATGATATTAAGATGCCAGGTCGGTAGTCAGAAGCGGGATGACTGGTACGCTAATTTGTATAACCAAATAATGCTTGCAGTTCAGCAGCCGAAGTGATCTTTGTTGTAGTAGCTACTATGGAATTGATTGCAGCCAAATACGCAGCTATGGTAAAACCCTTAAGCTAACCTGACGACCACAGATAGTGAACATACTCAGCAATTTGTTTTGGAGACGCTGTATCACTCGTGTGACTTTAGCCTTCCACTTATGGTCTTATAGTGACTTGATTGCCGATCAATGAGCCTCGGAAATGGTCTTGGCTACCCTTCTAGAGTAACCCTTTGCAGTAGGGGATTTCTGTAAATGTGCCAGATGCACAGATTGAGGGTTTCGGGCAATGGGTGGATCAGCTGAGAGTAAGGTTGAAGAAGATCATGCCTTAGCAGTAGAGGATGAAATCTTCTGTCTGCGAGTTGGACGAGCCTGGAGAACCAACTCTGTGGTTTGTTTGTTTGTTTGTTTGTTTGTTGTTTAACACTGCACTCCAATATTCCAGCGATATGACGGTGGTTTGTAAATAATTGAGTCTGGACCAGACAATCCAGTGATTAATATCATGAGCATCGATCCACGCAATTGGGATCGATGATATGCATCAACCAAGTCATCGAGCCTGACCACCCAATCCCCTTGGTCGCCTCTTACGACAAGCATAGTCGCCTCTTACGGCCAACATGGGTTGCTGAAGACCTATTCTCCCCTGGATCTTCACGGGTCCAACTCACAGCAGGAACTCTATGGTAGCCAACTTGGTGCGACCAAAAGCAGTGTGAGGTGATGGGTGGAAGTTATCTTCTGCAGGACCTGAGGTAAAACACTGGTTGGATGAAGGCACAAGCATGTAAACCCTCCAATGACAATGCATCATGGTTCCAAACCTGAGGATCTGGGAAAGAAGATACGCACCAGGATAGCTGAGTGTTGAAGAGGGTTGCTTGCAAAAAGATTGATGTGAGGGCATGGAAATAACTGGCAAATCCACTGAAAGTTCATTGGATGTAGGTGCCATTCCGTAGGGGATGGTTTGTCAGGTCGTCACAGGGAGTTGGCTATGCCGGGGATGTGTCTCGCCTAAACTTGAATGATGAGTGAGTCATCAATATCATTTGAAAATTGTT